TTACCCAGCCTCAGGTACCTACCCAAGAGCGCTGGAGACGCTGGTCAGCTTGTGTCTGTGGCCGATTACGGCGTTGGGCGCCCACCGCACCCACTGCACCCACTGCGGCTCAAGTGCAAGGCGGGATATCAATAGAAGACGCAACACGAGATGGCTGCTACTTTACGAAAGCCGCCGCAATTCCGGACCCAGCATGGAGTCTAGTGCGTAAGTGAGTGTGTCGGTGTAATGGCTGGGCCACGACACGGACGGAATAAGAAGCTATTGGAGAAATTTTTAGAGCCAATCCCGATGTCTACCAGCAACAATCAGATTGTACTCGATGATGGCTTCGTGGCGGGACGCTTGCGTTACTCCCCCATAGCCCTTGGTAATTCAGCTCGTCGTAAACATGTCCAGCCTGGTACACCGTACTCTGACTCCATACCGCGTACCCCGTGGGTTACTTGAGCATCCTGGTAGTCGATTGCTTGATTGCATGCCTGATTGCTTGGCTCAGATGCCCTGGGGGTGTGGACACGCGGGCGGCGTGCTCAAGTGGATGGCGCGGCCTTGGCAGACGCTTGCACACTGGAGACTGGAGACTGGAGACCGGATACTTCACACACAGCACTTGAGCACTCCAGAGGGCAAGCACATTGGGCGCTGCAGCCGGCGCCGTGGACAACAGCAGAGCATTTGACTTCTCAAGTGATTGCCCCCTTGTACTTTTGGCAACCTCCCGAAAACCCGTCTTCTACTTCCTGATCCTTTTTTCCCCTCTTTCATTTCATGTGTGTGTGAGACAAACAACACGGCCGTTGGCATATCCATTCGTTGCTCTGCTTTCCTGTTTCCTTGTTCAGCCTGGATCCTCTACTGAATGACCAGAGTCCTGCCCTTCTGCGCTGCGCTGCACTGCACTGCCACGCCCGTTCGCATCCAACAAAAGACCTAACGAAGGCGGAACCAGTCCGGAGTTCAGAGACAGTCCCTCACTGACTCCTCCATCACTCGCTGAGGGACCCCTCCGTCCACTTGCGGTACAAGTCGCCTCGTCGTGTTGTCGTGTCGCCGTGGCCGTCATGCACGAAGCTGTTATCGATTCTGTCCAGAAACTCGGCCTCAATGGCCCCTCAGAGCACACTAATGGTGTGATCAAGGACGACTTCAAAGTACGCACCATTTGCTGTGTCGGTGCCGGCTATGTTGGTATGTTTTGTTGTCCCGTCGGTCCCCCGGATGCCATGTTAGTCGACAGGACTCGACAAGCTTTGGATCCACGCACCCATGCCACCTCGGCATGAACAATCAACTCCTCCTCACCCCCCCTTGCATCTGCATGGCGCACTGCATTGCGGCTCAATCAAGATCTGTGACTGACTATTTGGCCGTCTGTGGTATTCCTTAGGTGGTCCCACCGCTGCTGTTATCGCATTCCAGAACCCGCACATCAAGGTGACGGTTGTCGATCGAGATGAGCTTCGAATTCGCCGCTGGAACTCGCGCCACCCTCCCATCTACGAGCCTGGCCTGCACGACATTGTCCGCGTTGCTCGAGATGGTTCGCGTGACTTCACCTTCGCCAACGAGAGCGCCTCTGAGAGCGAGCTAACCTCTGCCCAAGATGGCGACATCTCGGTGCCTAGACGGCCCGCCAATCTTTTCTTTACCACTGATGTGGCCAAGAGCATTGGCGAGGCCGACATAGTCCTTGTTGCTGTTAACACCCCGACAAAGGAGCGTGGTGTTGGCGCCGGAAGCGCAACCGACATGACGGCTTTCGAGGCCGTCACTGCTGTTGTTGCGCAGTACGCCAGGGAGGGTGCCATTATTGTCGAGAAGAGCACGGTGCCCTGCCGGACGGCTCAGCTCGTGGCCGATACTGTACGTTCATTCCAAGCCCTTGTATAATTTCCATCGCTTGGGCCTTGACGCGTTCAATGTGAATTCGCAAGGCTGCCTTGGTGTCATTACTCTGGCTGATATGCCTTTATAGCTTTCCATGCACCGCCCTGGTGTCCACTTCGAAATCTTGTCCAACCCCGAATTCTTGGCTGCGGGTACCGCAGTCAACGATTTGCTCTACCCAGATCGTATCTTGATTGGATCTGCACCAACCCCTTCGGGCAAGAAAGCTGCCGAAGCACTTGTCGAAGTGTATGCTGCCTGGGTTTCCCGGGACCGCATCCTCACGACCAACGTCTGGTCATCGGAGCTGGCCAAGCTCGTTGCCAATTCAATGCTGGCTCAGCGCATTTCCAGTATCAATTCCATTTCGGCCGTTTGCGAGCAAACTGGTGCCGATGTTGACGAAGTCGCTCGCGCTGTCGGTATCGACCCTCGAATTGGCAACAAGTTCCTGATGGCTGGTATCGGTTTCGGTGGAAGTTGCTTCAAGAAGGACGTCTTGAACCTTGTCTACCTGGCCGATACCATGGGTCTTCCGGAAGTTGGCGAGTACTGGAGACAAGTCGTCAAGATGAATGACTATGCGCGAGACCGTTTCACTAACCGGGTCATCAAGTGTCTGAATAACACCCTCGTAGGGAAAAAGGTTGCTATTTTGGGATACGCCTTCAAGAAAAACACGTCTGACACCCGAGAGGCTCCTGCTCTGGAAATGATCAAGACCCTGCTTGAGGAGCGTCCTAGAGAAATTGCCGTCTTTGATCCGTGCTGCAACCCCCTCGTCATCAAGGAGGAAATCAAGACGCTTCTTGGAGATGTCGCTGCATGCAACAATATCTCCGTCTACGGCAATGCTTACGACGCTTGCAACGGTGCTACCGCAGTAGTCATCGCTACAGAGTTCGACGAGTTCAGAAACCAGCCGGCTCCTAAGCCATCTCCAGCCCCTGTTCTCCAAGAGCCCGCCCCCAAGATGATCGGCCGCAAGCCCAACCCCAAGTCAGATCCCCGGCCGTTCGAGAGACGAGTCCCTACGGAGAATGACTTGTTGGCGCTACATAAGTATCTTGTCCAGCGGCCAAGCGAAACCTCGGATGACCCTCTGGGCAGATTCAACATTGAGCCTTCATGCACTGACGACTGCCCCGACTGCATTCAGGAGAAGCAAAGTAAGAAAACCGGCCACGCTACTGGCATGGGCAGCGCCGAGGAGTACAAGGCCAAGGAGCGGATAGACTGGGTCCGCATTGCCGACGCCATGGCCAAGCCCCGGTGGGTGTTTGATGGTCGTGGTGTGATTGACTCGAGAGAAATGGTGAAGCTTGGCGTAAGGGTAGAGAGCGTGGGCCGTCAGCACCGATTCTAAAGTGTGGAGTTTGATGGGGAATTGCGGTTTCATATGGGAAGAAGGCATCGAGGCTATAGGAGTTGAATATTCTTCTTCTCTCTTTTTTTGCCTTTTTTTCTTTTTCTTTATTCTTTCCCCGCCTTTTGCAACGACCGGCTGTTAACATTCTTACGCGGCAAAGCGGTGGCTGTCTGGCTATGCCCTCCAAGGACGGCTGCCAAGGCCACCTTGCCAATTACCACTGTTTTACTATGGCATGACCCAGGGGGCACATTACGGGTGTTTATAGAAAGGAACGTGCGGTCGTTTCTTTTGTTTTAAGATCAAGATACGGGAGAAGGATGCGACTGGAGCAAGTCTGATAAGCCATGGGGAATCCCTGAACTGCGTTTGTGGAGGATTGACTGGTGGGGATAGATAGGATTATTATGCAGCACGGCGGCTTGCGCCCACATGCATTGTTTGTAAATATATGCTCTTCTCCGGGTTAGAGTTTGCTGACGTCAAGTCTCACCAATGTTTTCTGATAGACATAGACGATAGACAATGTCTTCGTTTCGCCGATGAAAAAGGGCGCCACTTGTAGCCTCCATCAGGTACGAATTTCGCGTGTCACGGCCCCATTCCGGTTCTAGGGATCATGGCGGGCACGACAGCGCAAGAAAATTAGTAGTTTCCGATTTCGATGGGGACTTCAAGGCCGTCCGCTTCCCTAGACAGCTTTCTCTCGTTGCACGTTTCAGACTTGGCCCTCTCATGCCTGGTGTCTCAGCTAGATTGGGACAAAGTCATGAACGACATCTTGGACATTTGTTATTCACAGCATTATTATGGTATTTGATGAGCCTAAGAGTTTTTTTTTTTTTTTGCTAAAAAAAAGGGGGAAGAAGAACAAAGAAAAGAAAAGAAAAAACAGCCGCGGTGATCCCCAACCTGCTCAGTACAATAACCATTTAGGTTGGATATACAAAGCAAAGGGGGTTATGATAAAGACAAATAACAGCAACCTGCACTAAAGGAGTTTCCTCCACTTTTTTTAATGCAGCTGGAAAGAAATACGATAGGCGGGTTCCAAAAAGCGCGGCAAGACTGAAGCAAGAGATGAGACGCACATGACCTGACAGTCGTGGACTCCTGGTCTCATACAACTGGACCACGACCGAAAACCAACGGCCAGGAAGTCAGCAAACAAAGAGTCAAGCCCTCACACTAGATGACCCCTTGGTATCAAAGCCATGCATTTTGTTTTAGACCTTGGCGGAAGCGTCGGGTAATCCCCTATTTCCCCCTCACGGGCCTTGAAACGCGCACCTCGACGCCGTCACATTGGTAAATGCACTTTTATGCGGCAAACCCGAACCCCCCTGCCCCTTGCCTAGTGGAAAATCGGAAAGTCGACTGCTGATTTCCTGGTGATGGCAGATTTTAGTTTCAGAATTTTTGTGGCGTTGAAGGTTCGCGAAGCCTGTTCGTCCCTCTCGCTTCTTGCTGGTTTCCGAGCGGCGATTTGGGGATAAGGACCGCAAAAAATACGCCAGCGTTCCTGAGGAGCGAGATCCATGATCTGCGGGCCTGGTTCGTCTTTTTTCATCTTCTTTGCCAAACTGGACACATGCACGAACTTGTGCTCCGCCTCTGCGAGGACACACCGCGAATACATTGAGAGAGTCGTCTCCATCCTCCGACCCCGTCAGGCGGGCGCTTCGTCGACGCCAGTTATGCGCTCCAACACCTTTATACATCACACTCGCTCGCGGCTAGTATGAGAACGACGGCAAGTCTGGTCAGCATCGCAGGCCTCGTCTCCCTCACAACAGCAGACGCCCTGCTGCCGGAAGATGTTACCGTCCCCTGCTCGAAAATATGCGGTCCCATCGTGGACCTCTCGTCCAAGTGTACGCCCGCCAAGTCGAAGGAAGACGGCCAAGTTGACGGATTTACAAACGGGACGGGAGCTGGTGCCGCGTGGGCAGCACAACGGAGAGCAGTCGCCCAGGAGCAGAACGAGCGACGGTTGCAACTCGACGAGCGGGATGCGAATCTTGAAAGAGGGTTCTACACGATAGTCCCTGCACCGACGTCCTTTGACAAGAAATACTCGTCGATACTCAACCCCGACAGCGACCCCCTAACACAACCCCCAGAAGGGACGCCAACGCGAATCTTTCCCGTCATTGTCAAACCGTCAATGCCGTCACCTCCTCCTCCTCCAGAAGCGGCAGCACCGGCAATGTCCTCTTCACTGCCAACACCTCCTCCGCCACCGCCGCCGATAGAGCAGGCTCCTTCAACACCCAGGGAACAAGCATCAACAACAAGCAGTCAGGACCAACGGCCACCGACACCGTTGTCGAGCACGCCAACAAACCGGAGACCCGAAAAAGTGGCAAGCACAATGAGCCCTGTGGGGAGTGCTGGCATGGCCATGGACGCCGAGGAACAGTGTTTCTGTCTCAACAAGAGCTTTGACGTGCGGCTTGTGGCAGCACTATGTACGAGTTGCATTGTCCAAGGGGGAAACAAGGAGACCAGTACGTTATTAGGTTTTTACACCGCTTTTCTACATGCGTTGGATGCCATGATGATGTGTTCGCTTCAAGCTAACGTCAAATCTGTAGGCATGAAGGCCGTCATGTCAGTGTGCAACTTTGCGGAACAAGCCTACACACCAGCCGACGACAACATTGTGGAAAGCATCCGTGTTTCAGCGACGAGGCCCACGGCAGCGTGGGGCCATCAAAATGGCGTTTCGAATGCAGGTCATCGTGTAACAAGGGGGATGGAGCCGGCAAGCGTGGTGCTGTGCGTGTTAATATCCGTCTTGTCGGCCATGTGATTTATGCGGGAGAAGGGCCGGGTGTTGTGTATTTACTACGACTTTGGATAGCGACTAGCGGCGATCTATTATTACATATTTTTTTTTTTGGGCAACCTTGGGTGGTTGGGTCCCTGTCGACGTTGGTTGCTGGCTACTTCCGGATTTGAACAGCTGCTGCGCGACGATTGGGCCCAAGGCGTGCTTAAGCGAACCTGTCAGATCTTGGTTCCGCCGTCAAGCGATTTTCTGCCGGGCGGAGTGCGGACTTGGGGCGCCGCGAAATTGCCTGCGCTTTGCCGCTGAGGAATCCGGCCTCGGCGCCGCGTCCGGGCCGAAAGTGCCGAAAGTGCCGAAAGTGTGTTGCCCCTTGGGCCAGCCCGCGCATGTATTATGTATATAACATTTATTGCTTGACCGCCATCGCCACGATCCGCCTTTTTGGTCAATCTAATCTCACGTCGCACCACTGCAAGAATCCACACTCACAATGCACCTCATCCGCACTGGAGCAACCGGAGCAACCGGAGCAACCGGAGCAACCGGAGCAATCGGAGCAACCGGCCTCGTCGGCTCGTCAGTTTCAGCTGCAAGCCCGGGCTGCAGGCCGACTCTGTGCGCCCGGCCTTTGTCGAGGGCGTCCGTGGTGGTCCTCGGCCCGGCCCGGCGGCCTCATGACGCAGATGGCCACGGGGAGTCTCGACGACAAGTCGCAGGGCGCCGGTGCCTTCAAGCTGGGTCCGTCTTGGATCGTTGAGAAGGCGGGGTTTAGGAGCATCATGGGTCTATGAGCGGTCGGTGGCCGTGACTGTATCTTCTAACAGTGTTGTCGAAAAAAAAAATTAAAAAAAAAAAAAGGATTTTTTATTGAATGGAGTTTTGGCGAAAACGTGGGCGGGTATTTGGCGAGGAAAAGGTGGACAACCCTATTCAATGCAGTCTGTTGGATTGGACTCGAATCCAAGCGAACTTGTTGGAGAGCATCCATCATGCACAACAAGGCGATCGAGTCTGTCAGGGAGGGCAAGGCGGACTACGGTGGCACATTAGCTAAGGTCCGCAGTTGCTGCCACAACCCCACATCTAGCATTTTAAGCGATTTCAGCGGTTTGGGCGGTTTAAGCGATTTTTGGCATTTTGAGCAGATTACCTGTGTACGAGCAATGCCACCACCACGAAGAGACCTAGAATACGTACGGGAGGAGGTCCACGCTCTTCTAAATAAAGGACTCACCCATCAGCAGATTATTAATCGCCTCAATAACCAGTTTTCCGTATAAGAGCAATAAACTATTAACATTCGTACCTTCCGGCGTTAGCTTTCTTCTTAGGGTTTTCTGCGTACGCCAGCTATAATATCTCTCTCTAATCTCTATAAAGAGATATCTGAGCTTTTTGTGATGTACGTACGGGATCAGGCACTAGCTCCCGAGAACAGCTAATTGTGGGGCCGGGGACTTAAGATAAGCCGATTAAGCTAGATGAGGACGGAACCAAGCAAGATCCCGTGATACTATAAGCTCGTACGTATACATTTTATTTATTATTTGCTTAATTACATACATACTACTCACTACATTACATCCCTTATTATTTCACTACACAGCTAAAGAGGCTTTAAGTCAAGTGGCTTTAAGCGGAGGCGTCAGATAGTAGTTCTATCTGATCTAGGATGATAGCTGGCACCTTCTCGTGGTGTTCTGGGCAGAGCATTGACAAGAAAACTACATTTTCAATTTTCAAAAAAGCTTAAATAATTAATAATAAATCTAATAAAATACTTGAATTATAATAATAAATACATAAATTAGCTAATATTATTATTTATCCGTAAAACTTATAATCTTATAAGTATTTTATTAGATTTAATGTTATTTATTATATTTGAAACTACAAAAACTACAAAACTACAAAACTACACTACTTCCAATGCTCTGGTTCTGGGTTAGTAGTTAATTTCTTTATACGAAAGAATTAATGAAGCGAAGACCAGCTTTATGTACATAGCCTAAACTGCCTAAACCGCCCAAACCGCTGAAATCGCTCAAAATGCTAGATGTGGGGTTGTGGCAGCAACTGCGGACCTTAGCTAATGTGCCACCGTACAAGGCGGCCGGCACCCGACGACGGAATCGATGCGGCCCTATTAATGACAGCGTCTTGCCAAACTCTAATAAATACGCGCGCGTAGAGAAATGACCCGCTACCCTATTGATCGTCCTCCTCTCACCTCGCTGCGGCAACCAGACGTCTCAAAAATGGCCGAATGGGACATGCACGACCGCCGTGACCTCAAGCCCAAGTACGTCATTTGGGGCCAGAAGATCTGGAGCTCCGCTGTCGGTGACAAGGTCAAGTAGTGCGAGTATTGGCCGACTATGAACGAAAGGGGCAACATTACCTAGAATTACTGGTGGTATAAAGTTTAGGATTATAATATAATAAGCTTATACTATTAATAAAGTCTAGCTTAATAAGTACAGAAATGGCAGAACTTGTTGTCGAAGAATGTGGTTGCCGTGGAACTAACTCCTTCAAAGGCATCATGTACATGTTAGCTACGAGGAATTTGGAATCTATCGGAACATGACGGGGCGCCCATGCTCCGTGGATATGTGCAACGATTTCTTGCTCGTCGCAACTAAAAGTTGAGACCATCATGTCGCTAAATACCCGTGATAAATGCGGCTGTTCGCACGCAATCCCATGTACATGCCTATGAAACATTTGCTACCTAGGGACTTGACTTAAAAAAGAAAAAATTAAAAAAAAAAAAACGTCCCATGTCCCTTTCTAGCCCCCAAATACCCTATTGATCGTCCTCCTCTCACCTCGCTGCGGCAACCAGACGTCTCAAAAATGGCCGAATGGGACATGCACGACCGCCGTGACCTCAAGCCCAAGTACGTCATTTGGGGCCAGAAGATCTGGAGCTCCGCTGTCGGTGACAAGGTCAAGTAGTGCGAGTATTGGCCGACTATGAACGAAAGGGGCAACATTACCTAGAATTACTGGTGGTATAAAGTTTAGGATTATAATATAATAAGCTTATACTATTAATAAAGTCTAGCTTAATAAGTACAGAAATGGCAGAACTTGTTGTCGAAGAATGTGGTTGCCGTGGAACTAACTCCTTCAAAGGCATCATGTACATGTTAGCTACGAGGAATTTGGAATCTATCGGAACATGACGGGGCGCCCATGCTCCGTGGATATGTGCAACGATTTCTTGCTCGTCGCAACTAAAAGTTGAGACCATCATGTCGCTAAATACCCGTGATAAATGCGGCTGTTCGCACGCAATCCCATGTACATGCCTATGAAACATTTGCTACCTAGGGACTTGACTTAAAAAAAAAAAAAATAAAAAAAAAAAAACGTCACCCATGCCATTCCATCGCCCTAAAGAAAACATCGCTCATGCCCACAACGCCGGTAGTGCAATAATTAAGCCCCAAACGCCTCGCTTACCGTCTCTCCCTCGTCAGGTGTCACAGCCATTTCCAACAGCTCGTGAGCTGCCTCCACAACCTCGCCTTCGATGCCAGCCTCGATAACCAAGTCCTCTTCTGCAAATGCCAGACGGCCCAACGCCAGGAGATATCGCTGACTGCCGCCATGAGACATGGACAGCTTTTGACTAACGTCTACGACATTGGCAGTTTTAGTATCCGTGATCAGCCTGTGTATGAGAAGGACACTTTGCGAAATGATGCGATACAGGTCCGCCGATGCGGTGGACTCTGGCAGTTTCAAAGACTCCTTCACAGAGTCTGGAAGGGGCGGAATGATATTGGGCGGAATCGGCTGATCGTACAACTCGTCAATGGCAGCGCTTAGACATGCAACAAGTCGAGGAATGGCATTCTCGTGAACAGCCAACTGTAGAGCTCCAAAGGACGACAATGAGAAGGCTATTAGAGTCCGCAGTGCTGCCAGTCTGATGGACCTTCTCAGTTTCTGAGTCGTAGAGCCCCGAGGCTGTTCGGTTAATTTGGCAGAAACACGCTCAATGATTGCTCTTGCAATGACAGGTGGTTCTGCATCAACACTGACAGGCCCAATCGATGTTGGCAATCCAGACGTGGAAAGCAATTCGAGCATACCCATTACATCGCCTGGCCTCTGCCTCGGAGTCAGGAGTAGTAGAACCATGTCAAGGGACATCAACCTCCAGAACCCAACCGACGTGTACTCGAAGCCATTGCCCGTTTCGGTTGGCGTCATTGAGCACGATAGTGCCGACATATACAAGAGGCCCAGCAGCCGTTTGGTGTCAATGTGCTCTTCCAAAAACCCGTACTCTGCGCTAGTAGCCAGATTGCTATCCGGGAGTCGTCGTCTGAAATCAGCCAGAGTGAAAATGGTGGATTGCGCGACAGGTACCAGATTGGGTACGATCAAAGGCGCCACCGACGTTGTGTGAAGGTCAAATGTGAAGGAGATGAGAGACACGAGATACTTGATGGGTTCCCAAAATTGCTCCTCCACACACCGTGTCCAAAGAGACACAATATGCTCAGCAAAGTCAACAAGAAGCTGCATGGGGCGGTAGGGGTTTCCCATCAAGGGCAGTTTCTCAAAAATCATTGAGGCAAACGAAGTGGCCGGATCAGAGGGGAATGTGAACCGAGATAATGTGTCAAACGTCGGGGGTTGTTGGTGGAATGACCCGTGGTCTAGCACAAGTTGAAGAAACTACAGGGGACAAATTAGTCTTCTCGAGCCTCGCATTGACGACACACAGACCTACTTCGAATGGAGCCGCCGGGGCTGCCACTATAATCGGGGGCGAAGGCTTTGAATCCTGTTTGCTGCTGTCGCCCATGACGACGTCCTCGGTGGACGTTTCAAGAGCAGCAATGGGGCTGTCCATGACGGGGCGCTTCCTTTTGCCTTTGCTGGGCGTACGCTCGCCGACGTTAGCAGCGACGGAACCAGCCTTGCCTCGTCCTTGACCCTTACTCGGGCTCACGGCAATGTCCATTTCATCAAAGCCATCCGCAATCCCCCAGGACTTG